AAGCCCACTCTTGTCAATACTTAAATAGTGTTGTTGTCAAACGGGAATTAACAACGGTCTAATGGGAGTAAATTTAGAATACAACTCAATATTCAACGATAAGAACTTGTATAATGTAAAAAGAGATGGAATTTTTGGGTAAAGTCTTATTATTGTCTCTTGTTCTCTGGAGATTTATTTTTCCCCTTTTATATTTAAGTACAACATTTATCCGTACGGTAATCATTACATTTTGAAAGGTCAAAGGCGGCTCTTAGCTGCTTTTCAGATCTACTTTTCTTTTATCTTCTTCTTGCACTCATCTTTTCGGCTTTCTTTGCAAATTAATCGCTTTTCAACCGTACTCAAAGCACTCCAGATCCACGAACGACTTCCTGTGGTAAGAATTCCTCATCGTATTTCATTTATTTACCCCGACTCTTCTTTCTCTTTCTCGACATCATGAGCGTATCTTGGGCGTCTTCGGGTGACGACGAGATGGACGTGATGATGATTAACATGGTCCATTCCGGGGAGTTGGAGTTATTATCTGAATATAACCGGTGGGATCCAGTGTTTGTTGAACGGCTGAAAATTCGTCTAAATGACAGCGAAGGGGATAAAATTGTAGAGAGAAATGCCATCGATGACTCGAGATTTTGGAGGCGACCTATTAGGAGATGGCCGAATCCTGAAATTACATCCCATGGCGAACCCAGTATTCTTACTTACGCCGACGTCGTTATGCTACGGGGCGAAATTCGAGTCCCTTCGTCGGTACATCTGTTTGCCCCATATCCAGGTGAGAGGATCACATGCTCTCCACCCAACTGCGTTGGTGTGTTTGCTGAGAGCCTTAGATTGGGCTTGCGATTTCCTTTGCCACGTATAATCACTGAGTACTTGCGGGACTAGGAGTTTCCGATATGCCAAATCGCTCCAAATTCTTGGAAACGAATTATCGGGCTGCTGGTACTTTTCGCCGAGAAAAAGTGGGATCTGCCGTCGGCAAAGGACATGAGGAGCATGTTTACATTCCGGAAGAGCCCGGATAGACAAGTGTCGGACCCACTTCTCACCTTTTCTATTGTCGGTAAACCCCAGCCAAGGGTTAAAGTCGGTGAACTAATAATGGAGGTCCCCGATACTTTACATGGCTTCCAAGAGGAGTGGTTGTGGGTCGGGGGAGATTGGCAGTGCCCCGACTTCGCTAAT